GAGAGACTGGGGGGCACGCAATGGGGGGGGGGTTAAGGGGGTCACAGAGGGGAGAGAAGTCGCGGGGGGTCACAGGAGGAGCGCTGCACTCACCCGCCCCGCAGCAGCCGCACTCGCATGGTGCCAAAGTCCATGGGGTGTTTGATGATGCGGCGGTAGCCGGGCACCAGGCGGGGGTTGACGGGCTCCAGGAAGGGCCAGGCGTCCTCGTGCGCCTCCATCTCCATCAGGATGATCCTGGAGGGGGGGAGGGATGGGAGCTGGGTGGAGGGGGGGGGGGGGGGGGGGGGGGCGGCTCCGGGGTTGCGGCCCCACACCCCGACCGTGCCACTCACTCGCAGAAGGTCAGATCGCCGGGGGGGCCCCGCGGGGGGGCTGCACGCCGTTTGGCCGGGGACGCCCCCTCGGGACGCCGCGACGACGCCCTGCGGCGCGGGCTGCCGTCCTCCACTGCGCCCCCCCCGGGCACGCGGCCTCGCTTCCGCTTCTTCCCCCGCCGCGGGGTGAGGGGCTCCGGGTACTGCTGTGCCTGGGGGAGTTGGGGGGATACGAGCGAGTTGGGGGGTCACCAACGGCGCGCGGCCCCGACGGCGGCACCGCACGGCCCGGACCGCCCCGTACCCGCGAGACGCAGACCGAGCAGAACCAGTCGCCCTCGGGCACGGCCGCCATGCGCGGGCGGTGGCAGTAGAGGTGGCAGCCGCGGTCGCAGCCATCGCACAGCAGCAGGTTCTCGTCGTCGTCCCCGCGCCGGCACACCAGGCACGTCTGGAAGGGTCGAGGGGCTCAGGACGGTGCTCCCCCGCCCCCCCCGGTCGCCCCCGTGCCGGCAGCGCGCTCTCACCACTTTGTTGACGGACTTCTCCCACGCGATGGAGCGCTCCAGCTGGTGGATGCACAGCGACACCTGAGCTGCGCTGCGGCACCGCTCCAACGTCTGCCGCCACGTCCGCACGCGGGGGGTGATTTCGTAGGCACTGCGGGGGGGACGGCGAGGCCCGCCCCGCGCCGGGGGGGGGCCGTGGGGGTGGAGAGGTCGGGGGGCTCACATCTCCGTAGGGCTCAGCTCCTCGGGGCCGCTCAGCACCGCCTTCTCCAGCACCACCTCGTGCGGCGCCCACAGCGGCTCCTTCAGGTAGCGCCGCTCCACGTTCTGCTCCAGCGCCGCCAGGCGCAGCACCGCCAGGTCCAGAGGGTTGGTGTCCTCGCGGCGCGGGGGCAGCCCGTCCCGCCGGCTGCGCACCGTGATGTCCTCCAGAGGCTCCACTTTGTGCTCGCAGTACCGCAGGTCAGCGCGCGTGGAGTCGGGGCTGGGGCACGTCCACCCCTACGGGACGGAGGTGCTCGGGGCCGAGACCCTCCTGCAGGGCAGAGATCCCCCCCCCCCCCTGCTCTCGGGGACCCCCACCTACCCGGATCTGCAGGTCGGCCATCAGCACACGCTGCTCCAGCTCCTCCACCCACTGCAGCACCGACAGGTCGGCCTCGTACGTCCTCTCCATCACCGACCACTGGGCCAACGCTTCCTGAGACGCGGCGGTGACGGCGGCCGCCTCGGGGCGGGGATGGAAGATGGGGTCTGGGGGCACACGAAGAGGTCGGCAGTGGGGACGCAGATCCACACCCAAGCCCGCAGTCCACAGCCACCCCGTACCCGTGGCAGCACGCAGGCAGACCTCCCGCAGGTACTCCCTGTGCTTGGTCAGGTGTTTGTGCAGCGCTTTCTCCCGGATGCCGCGCGGGTGCAGCGCTCGCGCCACCGCCTCCAGCTGCTCGGGGTCCTGCAGCCACCACCACCCACTCCGCATCTCTGCAAGGCGGCACCGCGGTCGCATTGGTCCCACGGAGCTGCCCACCTCCCCCACAGCCCCCCCTCGGACCCCAGGCTGCACTCTCACCGGGGGGAACCGGCTGCTCCGTCAGCTGCGTCAGGTACTTCTGCTCCATCTGCTTGAAGAATTTGGTGGGGGGCCGCCCCCGGCGCTTGGGTTGCCCCGGGGTGTCCTGCAGCTTCTCCGGGCCGCTCCGGCTGCGGGGGCAGGCAGGGGGGGGCCCTGGCACCAGCAGGGACTGGGGTGGAGGCGAGCAGAGGGGAGGTGGAGTCATCTGCTGGGAGCCCATTCAGCTGTAGGGACGGAGCACGGTGAGTAGGAGACCCCCACCCATCACTCTTCAGAGCCCCCCATACACTGCAGCACCCACCTGCCTGGCTGAGGCCTTGGGCTGCTCCCTGTGGGGTGGTGGGGGCTCAGCCGAGGAGGGCGTGCGGGGGACTCTGCCATCGCGGGGCAGGGGGCTGAACCACGGCCCCTGCATATCCGCAGTCTCTGTGCTGCTCTCCTCTGTGGGGTCAGATGAGGCCTCGAGGGGCGGCAGCTCCACATCCCCCGCTCCAGGGCTGCTGTCTGGGGTGAGCACAGCATCGGCGAGCAGCGAGGGCTGCGTCTGGCTGAGCCACGACAGGAAGGCGGACTGGCTGAGGTCGTGTTGGCTCTGCCCCAGGGCCAGCGGCTCCTCCAGGGCCCCGTTGATGGGCGGCGATTTGGGGGGCATGGGTGGGGGGACGGGCGGGGGGACGGGCGGGGGGGGCGGCTCCTCTTTGCTCTTCCGTGGCCGCCCTCGGGCGCGTGCGGCCACACAGTTCATGGTTACCCGCTGGGGAACCGGCACCGGCACCTCGGGCTCCGGTGGCTCCTCCTTCACCGCGGGCACCGGGCACGGAGCCTTCTGCTCCGGGGGCTCCTCCGGGCGCTCCTCGGGCGCTGCGGGGAAGGAATGAGGGCAGGTTGCACCATGGGGGCCTCCGGCGCGTCCCCAGCCCCAACCCCGCTCACCTTCCGCCCCCTCCACGAAGATCCCCCCCAGGTGGGGCAGCACCCAGTACCGCCGCCGGTACCGGTCCTGGCCCAGCGAAGCAGCCCGCAGCGTCTGCGAGGAGTGGAGCAGCTTCTTGCGGAAGAACATCTGCCGCTGTGGGAAGGGCACGGGGTGAGGGGCAGCAGTGAGCAGGGGTCACAGCCATGGGATGGGGGGGGACCCACAGACCCGTGCCCCCACTCACCTTAGCCAGCTTCTCGATCTGCCGCTCGAGCTCAGGGATGCTGGAGGTGGACGTGTCGGCCTGGAGGGGGTGAGTGAGGGACCGTCAGGACCAGGGGAGACCCTGAGACCCCGCTCCATCCCATCCCAAATTGCTCCCAATGCCAAACATCACCTCCTCGTCCCGGCGGGAGCGGCGGCCCCGACCCTCCTCCTCTTCCTCCAGCTCCAGCCCTGGCTCCTCACACAGGCGTGAGCTGCGCCGGCGTCGCCCGTCCTCCAGTGCCATCAGCTCTGACTCGGGGCGGCCCGTTTTCTTGGCCAGGGCCACCTTCAACCTGATGGGACACAGCGCAGTGGCAGTGGAGACCCTGTGCAGAGCCCCCTCTGTGCCCAGAGCCCCTTTGAGTCGGGGTTTGGGGAGCGCAGCCCCATCCCTGTCCATGGCATACCCCCACAGCACAGCACAGCCCCATCCCAGGGCACAGCCCCATCCCAGGGCACAGCCCCCTCCCCGCCCCACAGCGCGGCACCCACCGGCGCAGCCGTCCCTCAATGATCCACTTGTTCTTCCTGTAGGCCGACATGCTCTCCAGTGTCTTATCGATCTCACTGCAAGAACACGAAGGGGGGGGGCTCAGCTCCCTGCGGTGGGGGCGCAGCCGGCGCTGCCCCCTCTGCGCTCACCTGATGATGCGGGCGCTGCTGTTGAGCTCATTGACCAGGAAGGCCAGGATGGCAGCTTTGCGCTCCGGCAGCAGCGCCTGGAAGGGTTTGGTGCGCAGCCCTGCGCACAGCTCGGCTTCAGCACCGTGTGCTGTCAGGAAGCAGCGCAGCACCTCCGAGACGGTGTCACGGTTCAGGCTGATCTCTGACACCTTCTCACCCAGGATCTTCAGGGACTGCGGGGAGAGGGAGGCGTTGGGGGGGGCAGCAGCAAGGGGACAACGTGGGGAGAACATCAATGGGGGAGTCAACTCCCAAGGGACAACGGTTTGAAGTTGAGATGGAGGTTGGAGTCCTGTGCTGTGAGAGCAGTGAGGGGCTGAACAGCTGCCCGGAGAGGCTGTGATGCCCCGTCCATCCCTGGAGGTGTTGGAGGCTGGATGGGGCCCTGGGCAGCCTGGGCTGCTGTGAGATGTGGAGGTTGGCGGCCCTGCGTGTGGCAGGGGCTTGGAGCTCCGTGATCCTTGAGGTCCCTCCCAGCCCAACCATTCTGTAATTGTGTGACTGACTGGGAAAACCCAATGCCTGGGGAGGGGCGTCCCCAGATGGGGCTACAGCGTGGGCAGCACGTCCCAAAGTGCAGCGCTCACCCACTGCAGGCCTGCAGCGGCTGCAGCCTCGTGGGCACTGAGGGCATCAGGATGGAGAATGGAGGGACGCAGAGCAGGGACAGTACCTGGCAGTAGGGGGGCAGCCCGGGGTCATAGAGCGCAGCCTGCAGCAGCTGCACCAGCAGGTCCTGCACCGCACCGGCGCTGCTGCCCACCCCCAGCAGCCCCTCCTGCAGCGTGCTCAGGCTGGGGACGTCCCTGCTGGGGTCGAAGCCCAGCACCTTGCCATAGCTCTGCAGGAACTCCACCACCGTCAGGCAGTGGGAGAAGGCGCGGCTGGGAAGCACCAGGCCTGGGATGCGCGAGAAGGTCGGCAGCGGCTGGGGGCAAAATGGGGCGGTCAGGGCAGGGGGGGCAGGGGGGCAGCCCTGCCGGGCCCCCTCCCCATCCCAACCTGGTGGTCCGCCAGGCACATATCCTCCGTCGGCTTCTTCATCTCCTCCAGGATGAGCTGCTGCCGCCGCCGCTCCTCCAGGCGCCGCTGGGCCAGCAGCCCCTTGTCCACCCTGCGCGCCCCTTTGCCCTTCTTCTCCTTGGGCCGCCCCTTCTCCTTGCCCTTCTCCGCTTTGCCTTTTTTCTCCTTGGCCTGGAAGCAGACCCCGGGGTGGGTGGCCCCTCCAGCCCCCTCCCTCCCTCTCTTCCCCATGGCTGCTGCGGACTCACCTTGGTCTTCTTCTTGGCTTCCTTCGCTTTGGGAGCTTTTGCTTCCTGCTTCTGCTTGTTTTTGGCCTGGGTGGAGAAGAGCAACTCAGGGACCGGCAGCAACACAGCCACCCAGTGGTCGGGGCAGGGGGCTGCTCTGTGCCCCGCAGCCGGGGAAGGCTCCGTGTCGGCCACAAGATGGAGGGGCCCTAGGGCTGCCCTGCCCTCCCCAGGCACTGCTCATACCTTCCGCCTCATTTTCTTCTTGATTTTGCTCATTTTCAGCTTGTCCTCGTCACTGAGCACCTCTGCAAGAATGGAGGGGATGGTTGGTGACAGCGAGCGGGCTGCGGGGTGGGCTGGGGGCCGGGGGGTACCTTGGGCCTCCAGCCTCTTCAGCAGCCGTGCGTCCGTCTTGCTCAGCAGATCCACCATCCGGGCCTTGGGGGGCCGCCCGCGGCCGCGCTTCATGGCAGGCAGCTCCTTGGGCTTCGCCTTCTCGGCATTGCGGGGTCGGCCGCGCTTCCCAGTGATGGCTTGGATACGGGACGGGATCTCCTCGGGGCTCAGCTTCACCCACTGCAGACCCTGCAGGAGGAAACCATCAGCCCCAAAGGCAGCAGCCCACAGAGCGGCGCCCTGCAGGGCACCACGAGTGCTCACCCCCGGTGTGTCTCGCTCCTCATAGAAATCCCCCACTGGCATTCGGGGGCTGAAGCTGAAGTGCTCACGGCGGACATCCTGCACCACGTTCCTGTTCAGGTACTGGGGGGCAGGAGGAGGAGGATGAGGAACCCTGGTGGAGTTGGGGGGCTGCTCAGAGCCCAGCCCCCCGCCGTACCTTGATCACCTCCGGGAACTGCTTCATCCTCTTCCCGCACGGCCCATAGTACCACGTCTCTCCCTGCCAGCGGTGGTTTCCCCTTTTGATGCGCACCTCTCTCCTCCACCTGCACACAGAGGAGGCTCAGCCCGGGTCCTGCACAGCCACGTGGGACGTGGATATGGGGACACCACGTACCCGTGCTGCAGAGGGAAGCGCACCTCCTCGGGGGTGGCGATGCGCCTGCGTGGGACATCGCCTGTGGGGCAGAGGGGGGAGCAGCTCAGGGGGCGTGGGGGGGCCCCCGGGCGGGGGGGGGGGGGGGGGGGGGGGGTTCCACATCCTCACCTCCCACCGATGCACTCAGTGGGGCAGCCGCCTCCTTGCTCTCTCCTTCTGGAGCAGCTGAAGCCTCCGTGCAGCTGTCAGCCACCTCCTCCTCCTCGTCCTCCTCTTCCTCCTCCTCTTCCTCAGCAGAAGGACACGGGGATTCGGGCTCCAGTGCAGCGCTGAGCTCCAGAGACCCCGACTGCTCCGGCCCTGCACGTGCGCTGCTCAGCTCTGGGCTGCTGTCTGCAGGGCCAAAGTCAGCACCATCAACACCGCTGCCATCCCTTCCTGCTCCTCCCATAGGAGGCCGCCCCCCCCCCCCGGCGCCGAGCTGGGGCTCAGCACCATGAAGGTGCTCCACGCACCGTGCAGGGGGGGCGGCGAGTCAGGGCTGGGCAGCAGCGGGGGGGCCGGGCGGTGGGCTGCCAGCAGGCTGAAAGGGCTGGCAGCATGCAGTGGGGGGCTGGCGGCAGGCAGAGGGGGGCCGGGCGCGTCGTCGGGGGGCTCCTCCAGGGGGGATTTGTCGCCCACCAGCTGCGCCTCATCCATCGCATAGAGGTCACCGGTGTCGGGGTCTGGGGGGGGAGGAAAGGGACAGAGCGCAAAGAGCTCGATGGGGCAGCAGGGCACAGGGGGAGCCCCCCAGCTCTGCGTGCATTGGGGGCGCGCACAGCCCCACGGCCGCTCAGGGGGCAGCGGGGATGACAGCCCCCCAATGGGCGCCGGGAGGAGAGGGGTTAAGGGAGCCCGCAGCCCCCGGCCACGCCTCCTCCGTTGGGAAGCGGAGCCCAAAATGGCCGTAGCGGCGGCGGCGATGTTCAGCAGCGCGGAAGTTCAGGCGCTGAGGAACAGCTTCGTCACTGCGCTGGGAAGGGAGGCCGGAGCGGAGGAGGGACCGCGCCATCCCGGCCCGCCCTCCGCTGGAGCCGCGCGGCACAGCGGCCATCGCCGTCGCCCCAGAGGGCCGCGCTGCCCCCCGCCCCCAACCCGCAGCCCCCCCTACCTCCGGCCAAGGCCTCGAAGGGCTCCAGGGGGTCCGCGCTCAGCAGCTGCGCGTCCTCCAGCGGCGCGCCCATAGGCGATGCGGGCCCCAGGCTGGCGGTGCTGGAGGTCAGGCCTGGGCTGTCCCGGCCCAGCGGCACCGCGGCGGGCGCTGCGCCGTCGTAAGCACAGAGCTTCAGGTCTGCAGGGAGCAGAAAGCTGCAGGAACAAACCTGCGAGCAGAGCAGGGGCCCAGCGGGCACCAACCCCCCACCCCCCACCACGGCCGTGCGCTGCCCATCGCCCCCAGGGCATGGAGACCCCCAGCTCCCGGCCAGAGGTCTCAACCCCGTGGAGGTGGGGTCCTGAGTGCTGTGGATGGATGGGAACATGGCTGCAGGTGCACCCAGCATGGGCCGACACAACCCCACTGCCACGACCCTGCCGCCGTGCCCTACCTGGCTGCGTGTCCTCCAGCTCCATGCTGCCCACCAGCCCGGCCCCGTTCTCAGCAATGGGGGGCGGCAGCTCCTTGGAGGCCTCAGCATCGTCCGCATCACCCCCCAACTCCTCCTCGGGCAACGGGAAGGGCGGCTCTCCAGAGCCCAGCATCGGGGACGGCTGCGGGGCTGCGTAGAAGCCGGTGGGGCCGTTGGGCATCAGCTCGAAGCTCTGCTCCGGGAAGGAATCGTACAGCTCCTGAGAGTCAAAGTTCAGCCCCATGGGTCCAGACGTGCCGTTGCCCCACAGCTCCGTCCCCCCGCCCCGAAGGTTCGCGCTGTGCCCGGGGGAGGAGGGCCTGGAGCCCCCAGAGACGCCGTTGAGGGGGAACTGAGCGAGGCTGCCGTCCTTGAGGCCACCGGGGGGCTGGAACTGTGTGTAGTCCCAGAGGCAGTCGTAGGGGTGGAGGTGGGGGGGCCCCGAGGAATGCGTGCTGGAGGTGAAGGTCCCTGAAGTAGTGGTGTGAGATACAGTAGAGAAGCCGTTGACATTCATGCCCCCGTTCAGACCTGAGGGAGGGCAAGAGACGGAGGTGTTGATGGTGGGGTTACCTTCAACCCAAGGACGGAGGGTTTGTGGACGGACGCAGGGCTGCCGTCACCCCCAGCCCCGCTGCAGGCTTGTGAGGGATCAGCTCATGGCCAGACCCACACACGCAGCCCCCAATCCGGCCATTTCAGGCTGGGGGCACACAGCAGACCCCACCGGGACCCCCCACCCTACAGCTGTGCTTGGTGGCCCCCCAGCCCTATAGCCCCACAGTGACACGCCAATGCCTCGCACCAAGAACACCAGGCCAGGACCGCTCTGCCGCACAGCCCCACGCCTGCCCCCATACTCACTTTTCCCCTGGGGGGGGAAGCTGAGCGCGGCCCCGTTGCTGTACGGGCTGTCCCCTGAGGAAGGCGCGGTGGGTTTCAGTCCTGAGGCAGTGGGTGCGGGGGGAAGACCCGCATAGCCAAAATGGTTATCAGTGTCCATGGCTGCAGGGGGGTGAAAGGTGCGGGGTTATGGAGATGCCACGACCCCCAGGATCAGCTCCACAGCCACTGCCGTGCCCCGGTGCGCCACGCTGTCACACAGAGGGTCCCATCGTCCCCCCCCCCAGGTCCCTGGGCCCCCAGCACGGCACAGACCGGCAGGTTCCCCCCCCCCCAACGTGCCTGTGACCTTGCAGGGACGTGGCACGGCCCGCCCCCCCTCTGTGCGCACCGCAGTTCCCGGTGCTGTGTGCAGGGATGGTCGCTCCTCGGACACCTCTTCACCCCCCCACCCCCCCCCCCCAGCGGTAGTCCAGCGGTGCCAGAGGGCGCTCAGCCCCATCTCCCCCCCCATCCCCTCCCCCCACCCCCAGGGCTGTGCCCGCAGCTGCTCCGATGGGGACGGCCTCAATTCGCAGCTGGGGACACCGCGCGGTGCCACCTCCGCGGGGACGCGCAGGGCGAAGGGACCCCCGCAGCCCCCCCCACAGCGCCCCCGCACACGGAGGGCACCGAATTCGCCGCTGCAGCGCCAGGCAGGGCCGTGTCGTAACCCGGGCACAGATTTCGTCACGGCCCCATGAGGAGACCGCCGCGGCCCCCCCGGGGGGGACACGTTCCTTCCCCCCCCACCCTCGGGGCTGCCCCGAGGGATGGATTAAAAGCAGAACCCTTGCACCACCCCCCCCCACCGCACTGATGCTCCGGGGCTACCAAAGGTCGGGGGGAGGGGGAGGGGGGGCAGAGCCGGGCAGGTGCTGCTGCAGGCGGGGGGGGAAAACGAATAAAGTCAGAGGATGGGAACGAGCGCGGAGTGGGGGGGGACCCCCTGGCTCGTCCCGCTGCGCCCCCCCCCGGGCCGTCCCAACCCGGAGCGCCGCCCGCTGCCGGCAGAGCGCAGAATTGGGCCACGGCTGAAACCGGAGCCGGGAGCGGGGGGAGGAGAATGAGGCTGATAAAGGGGGGGGGGGGGCCGCCCCAACCCCCCCCCCCCCCCCCCCGGTACAGCGCCGTGTGGCTCCGCGCAGCCGTTCCCGGAGCCGCTTCAAAACAACGCAACGCGGCGCAACGCCCGCTGCCATTTCTCGGCCGCTTCCTGCGGGGAAGGGGGGGGGGGGTCCGGTACCGGGAGAACCGCAGCGAACCGCAGCGAACCGCACCGGGAGCCCTCAGGCAGCCGCCCCCGCGCAGAGGCCGCGTTCCCACCGGAGGGGGAGGGGGGGGGAACCGGGACGGTGACTGCGGGAAAGTGCGTGGGGGAGGAACGGGAGGAACGGGGAGCCGACGGAGCCGGGAGGGGGAGGAGAAAACGGGGGGGGGGGGGGGAAGCCCCGCAGGTCCCAACCGCCGCCCCCGCCGTTACCGACCGCCGCGCAGCGCTCCGCCCGCCGTCCCCCCCGACCCCCGCACCTGGCAGCGGCGCCGCGGGCCCGGCTCACGCGGTGTGGGGCGGGATGCGGCTCCGCATGGCGCGGTCCTTCCGAGCGGACCGGGCCGCAGAGCGGAGCCGAACCGGACCGGGCCGAGCGGCGCAGGGCAGGAAACGCCGCGCGCCGCCGGGCGGTCCCCGCCCCGCCCTCCTCCCCGCGTCACCGCGGTGGCGTCACCGGGAGCGGCGGCGGCGTCAGCGCGGGGCGGACGCGCGCCCACGTGGGGGGGGAATCTCCGCCCCCGGAGGGGTCGGGGAGGGCGGGGGGGGAATCCCCCACGTGGGGCCGCCGCCGTCAACCGGGAGCGGCTCCTCCGCTTCCCCGCTGACATCAGCGGCACCGACTGCGGCGTCGGGGGGAGGCCGTCCCGGCGCGGAGCCCCGATCCCAGCTTGGGGGGGGGGGGGCCCCGGCGTACCACGGCGCGTACCTTCGGGCGGTGCCGGTTCTGGTGCCGGTGCCGCAGGGCCGCCGGGGCTGCGCCGGTGCTCGCGGCCCCGCGTGATGCCAGCACCGCCCCAACCGGGACCGCCCCAATCGCCCCAATGCGGGCCATTTAAAGGGACCGCAGCGCTTTGCAGCAGGGGGGGACTCTTCCAAGGGAACCCCCCCCTTCCCCCTCTCCCCCGCAGGGAACGCCGCGTTTCCCCCACTCCCTTCGGCACCACTCGACCGCAGCCCCCGGGCTGGGGATTCGGTGATCCCACGTAGGGCGGGCCCGGGCCGCCCCCCCGGGACCCGCAGACAAAGCCCCATCTGGCAGGGCCAGGCAGGAGCCCTTTGTGGTGCACGATGGGGTGGAGGGTGGGGGAGGCTGACCTGCCCCCCCGCTGAAGGCAGCTGCCACCGCTCTCCTGCTCCATCCCGCAGCCCCACGCGAGGGGGCCACGCCGGGTGGGTACGGACCCCCAAAAGGAGAGGCCCCGCACTGCTGGAGGCAGCCGGATGCAGCACAGGGCGCTGCACTGCTGCAATTCCCCCCAAGGATTACAGCGCGATGGGGGAGACGGCAGAGGCCCCTCCCAGATGCAGCCCGGGGTGGGGAAGGGCTCCTCTGCACGCACGGCCCGGGCTGTTTTCACCAACGTTTTATTGGAAACCTTAAATACTCGGGGTCTGGCCCCACACGGAGCCGGGAGGGGTGAAGGCGGCCCTGCTCATGCGTGCTCCTCAGCCAGCTTCTCTGCCTTGGCCACCGCCTCCTCGATGGGCCCCACCATGTAGAAGGCCTGCTCCGGGAGGTGGTCGTATTCACCTGGGGGAAAACGCAGCCAGCGGTAGGGGGAGCCGGTGCCAGGCCCAGAGCGCGGTCCCCAGCTCCCCCTGCCCCCTCCTCACCTGCCAGGATCTGCTTGAAGCCCTTGATGGTCTCCTTCAGGGGCACCAGCTTGCCCATGTGGCCGGTGAAGACCTCAGCCACCTGGAAGGGCTGGGACAAAAAGCGCTGGATCTTGCGGGCCCGGGCCACAGTCAGCTTGTCCTCCTCAGACAGCTCATCCATGCCCAGGATGGCGATGATGTCCTGCAGGGACTTGTAGTCCTGGGGACCAAAGCGGGCGGTGAGCAGCCAGGGCTTCATCCCCCCAAAGCACCCGAGGGGTCGCCGCCCCAGCCCACCTCCCCTCACCTGAAGGATCTTCTGCACACCCCGGGCCACGTCGTAGTGCTCGGGCCCCACAATGTTGGGGTCCATGATTCGGGAGGTGGAATCCAGTGGGTCCACAGCAGGGTAGATGCCCAGCTCAGCGATGGCACGGGACAGCACCGTGGTGGCATCCAAATGGGCGAAGGTGGTGGCCGGGGCAGGGTCTGTCAGGTCATCTGCGGGCACGTAGATGGCCTGCGGGGAGGGGGGGCACCGTGGGACAGAGGTGGGCGCCGAGGGGAACCAAGCCCAGAGGGCAGAGCGCTGGCACTACCTGCACCGAAGTGATGGAGCCTTTGCGCGTGGTGGTGATGCGCTCCTGCATGGTGCCCATGTCGGTGGCCAACGTGGGCTGGTAGCCCACGGCGGAGGGGATTCTGCCCAGCAAGGCTGACACCTAGGAGGGAACGGAGCGGGTGAGACAACAAGCAGCACCCCGGGGAAGGGCAGCACTGCTGTGGGGACGGGCCTGATGAAGGCTGGTTGCAGCTGGGGCAGCTGGCTGCCCTGCGGTCAGCACCAACCTCTGAGCCAGCCTGGGTGAAGCGGAAGATGTTGTCGATGAAGAGCAGCACGTCCTGGCCTTCCTGGTCCCTAAAGTACTCTGCCACTGTCAACCCAGTCAGAGCCACCCTGGCACGGGCACCCGGGGGTTCGTTCATCTGTCCATAGACCAGAGCGACCTGGCACGAGAGGAGAGCCAGCATCAGCACAGCTGCTGTGCCCGCGGGCCCCCAGCCCAGCCCAGGCCTCACGCAGCACCTTGGAGGTGGCATCTTTCAGGTTGATGACCCCAGACTCAATCATCTCATGGTACAAATCGTTGCCCTCGCGGGTTCGCTCTCCCACACCGGCGAACACCGAATAACCGCCGTGAGCTTTGGCCACGTTGTTGATCAGTTCCATGATCAGCACTGTCTTGCCGACGCCAGCGCCTCCAAACAAACCTGGGGGAAAGCATGACGCCCTCAGCCCGGAGTCAAACCAGCCACCCCGGCATCTCCCTTCATCCCTTTCCTCCTCAGACAACAAACGTTGCTTCAGCAAGCTCAGTAGAACGAAAGTCAAAAGGTCGCTCATCAGCGAAGGAAGCTGCTGTGTGGGGATGGGCTCCGAGCCTCATGGGGGGTGCAGGGCCTCTGCTCCACCCTCCCCCTGGGGGCTACGCACCGATCTTGCCACCCTTGGCATAGGGGGCCAGCAGGTCCACCACCTTGATGCCCGTCACCAGGATCTCCTGCTCGACGCTCATCTCCACGAATTCAGGGGCTTCAGCGTGGATAGCAGCAAACCTGCAGCACGAGAGGGAAGGAAATGAGCGGCCAACGTGGATCCCTCGGATCCCTTACGGGCAGCAACCGCTGCCAGACCCCGAGCCCCCACTGCCAAACCCCACACAGCACCACGGCCCGGCCTGCAGCATCGCTCACTGTTTCGTTGTGATGGGGCCCCTCTCATCGATGGGTTCCCCGATGACATTCATGATCCTTCCCAAGGTCTCAGGGCCGACGGGGATGCGGATGGGAGCGCCGGAGTCCAACACCTTCTGTCCCCTCACCAGCCCTTCCGTGCCGTCCATGGCGATGGTGCGCACCGTGTTCTCCCCTGCCGAGGGCAGAGTTACCGCAGTGCCCTCGGGCTGACCCTGGGGACAGCTGCACGATTCCTCCCACCCCTGCCAAGAGGACGCTTTGCTGGGAGAGGCACCGAAGGACAAAACGGCGCAGGGAAAACGCAGCCTCTAGTGCAGCCCCTGCGGGCTGCAGCCCCCAGCCCCCCGGCAGCCATCTTTCTCCTCTTCCTCCCCCTCCTCAGATTTTCGTGCGTGGCTTCAGCGAGCTCAGAAGAACGAAAGTCACCGAAATCCATCATCACCGGAAGAGGACCGACCCCCCCCCGATCCCCCCCAGCCCCGCTCACCCAAATGTTGGGCCACCTCCAGCACCAGTCGCGTCTCCCGGCCCTGCACCTCCAGGGCGTTCAGGATGGGCGGCAGCCCCTCGTCGAACTGCACGTCCACCACCGCGCCGATCACGGCCACGATGCGCCCGGTGGCGGAGCCGGCCTTGGCGGCGGGGGCCGCCTGAGCCGCATGGTCCCGGCCTAAGGGAGAGAGCGAGTGGAGGCGGGCGCCGAGGGCCCCTCAGCCCTTAACGGGGCCCGGGAACGGCGCTCGCCGCGACGCCCCCCGCCCGCGTAGGCCCCAAGGTGACCCCGCGGCCGCTCCGCACTCACGCGCGCCGACGGCGGCGGCCGGGCCGGCCCCGCGGCTAAGGAGCGGCGGCAGGAAGCCATGGGCCGGCCCGGCGGCGTGGCGCAGCGCCGGGCGGGCGGCGGAGGCGGCGGCGGCGGAGCGGCGAACCGCGAGCCCCAACATGGCGGCGCCGACTGAGCCCCGCGCTCCGCCCGCCCGACGCGGCCCGCAGGGGGCGGGCTCTCGGCGCGCGCTGCCGCCCACCGCTCGCGCTCATTGGGTAGAAGCCGACCCGCGCCTCCTGCTCTCGCGCTTCGATTGGTTGGACGCGCCCGGCGCTCGTCGCGCCTCCTCACGATTGGTCCGTGCGCCCGACCGTCTAGAAACGCCCCGCGCTGATTGGGCGCTGCGAATAGCGGACTGGCCGGAAGGGGTGGGAGTCAGGCGGCGGAAGCGGCGGCGCACGCGCTCTGCGTGTGTCCTTGGGCCGGGCGCGGTGACCGCCGCCTCCCGCCCCGCTCCCGGCACGCGGACATTTCCCGTGCCGCCGCCCGCCGCCATTTCGGTCTGCGGCACCGGAAGCGGCGCCCGGAGCCCGCGGCCGCGCAGTCAGAGGCAGCGGAGGCTGGGTGGAGTCTTCAACAGTTTATTAGAAAGAATGTAGACATTAAAAAAATTCCCACCGCTCTGAACAGAAATTGAGGTTTGTCAGCCAGGCCGGGTAACAAAGAGCCCCGTCGGGTAGAACAGATGTTGTCACTTGCTTCCATACCAGCAGTGCAAATACATTTGGTCTCACGTACAGATCCACAAGCAACGACGCGGCCCCACGGATCCATGGGGTGGGGGATGGAGTTTGGGCCTCACCCCTCAGGGCGCGGGGCACCGGGACACACACAGCTAACCATTAAATAGCAAACAGAGAGAATTTTGTTTCCTTTTTAATAAAAACATTAGTGAAACACACCTGAAGACACCACAGAGGTATTGCGCAGCTTGTTCAAATTTTGGTGAGCCAAATCCAAGAAGAGTTTTTTTGTTCCGGGCACAAAAGTCAGATTTAACCGTGGGCCACAGGGGGGAAAAAGCCAATCGAGCACAGGATGCAAGGCCTGCTCTGCTATTAGGTCTGCTACGAGGCAAGGAGGCTCTGTAAACTTTATTGCGACTGTTCCGGATCGATTGCCCATACCTCAATTGGTTTTTGGAAGTCTGGAATTCATGCATAACGTCATTTATTGCCTCTCGTGGCTTAAGACTGCCCCGCACAATGGTACACACCTACCATCAGTGAAGCCATTTAAAATGGACTGAAAAAAATGGGTTAAAGGATGCAATATCTCCCCTTAGGGCTATCAACTCAGGAATTCTTATCTCAATTATGAAATGTGATGAAGTTCTTTCCCCAAACCCTGAAGACGACAGTTTTCTTTACTCCAGATCTGGCATTTCTAAAGAGGAGAGAAGAAAAAAAAAGCATTAGTGTTTATAATAATACCAGCTGCAACAAAAACAAAGCCACCAACCGCCATATTGCGGCACAGGCAACGTGAGCAAGCAGACAGAGCCCACAGCCAGGAAAGGCACAGAGCAGCTCAGGGTCTCTGGGCTCAGCGCCGCAGAGGCGGCTCTTCACAAGGAAGCTCTGCGCAGCCACCGCTGGCAGGGCAGGAGTTCAACCGCGGCAGCACTGCAGGCTCTGACGCTCGCCCAGCGCCTGCTGCACACACAGCCGAAGCCGCAGCGGGGCTTTAGCAGCCCAGAAGGCCGCACAGTGCTCCACGCAGGCGAGCGAAGGCTTCGCAGAGCAACATCCCACATTGCGGGGAGGCGCTGGCATCAGCTGGCAGCCCGGATTTCGCGTGACCCCCAGGGCAGCACAGCCGGCCTGCAGCTCCTCCAGCCCCGCGCGCGCGGACTGCTGCACAGGGGCAGAGAAAGGCGGACGCCGACTTACTTTCATCATCACTGTCTGGTGAGTCCTGCAAAGAAAAATGACAGTAAGTGGAGCAGACGATGCTTGGGGGCACCTTCAGAAGCTCAGAGCAGCAAGCCTGCTCTCAGAGCATCTTCCAGGGAAGCACGGGTTCCTCAGGACAGGGCTTGGCGAAGTTTCACCAGCAGCTGCCTGCAGCCCGCAGCAACCAAGCACTGCAACACCAGAGCTGCCTGGACACCGCAAGCACTGGTGCGACTGTCCCCAGCACAACCGAAGGGGCAAACAGCTCCTGCTGCTCAACTGCAGCACTTCACAAACAAGGTCTGGCATCACTTACACTTAGAACTGTGCTGAAGTGGGGAACGCAAGCTTGACTTCAGCAAGTAGCACTGAACGTGCAGCCAGACCCCCCCGGCTACCGCAGAGTACTCACATCATCTGCCCCATCTACTTCTGGTAAGTCTACATCGTCATCTCCACCCATGTTGTTCATCATCTGTTTTACAAAGATAAAAGCCACAGAGTGAAGCCTCACAAACAGGACTAAAACCCCATAAAGCAGCTTAAAATTGTGATAACCAACAGCCACCAGGTTTTTGACAAGCCTTGCTGCTGCTATGCAGAAATTACAAGGTGACCAACACCAGCGGGACACGCATTCATTCCACATTTGATAACGAGCTGCAGTGCCAAGAGCCCACAGCACGACTTCAAGCAACTGCAGTCTGCCCCGAGCTGTAACTTCCTGCCCTGAGCTCCCCTGCTCGTCAGCACTGCACCAAGGGCCTTCCTCCCTGGGTGAGATGGCAGGGAGCAGGAGGAAGGCAGAGGAAGAGAACTCTCTAAAGCCATCTGTCACTGCCTGCCCGCGCACCCAGCCGAACAGAACCCAAACCTCCCGGAATTCATCTTCCCATACCTCAGAAAAGCGATCAAAATTGGACATGTCTTCATCTGAATCATCTTCCCAGTCTTTCCAGTTGTTGAAATCCACGCTGAGCCAGTTGAGCTGTGTGTTAACATACAAAAATGGAAGACAAGCTGTCAGCACACAGGAAGAGAGCTGCCAGCGCTGCCATCCCAACCAGCAGCAAAGCAAGCGGCCTGCCAAACGCTGCACCACTCCAACACCACCCCACCCCCAAAACAGAGGGGCCATCAGGACTGCTGCTACAGCCACCAGGGGGATGCAACCCACCTTTGCCCTCTCTTTTGTTAACCTTGGCCATGCCTGACCAGATTCTCCTTTTCGTAAACAACACAAGATAGATCTGTCTGTTCTTTTATGCTTTGATTCCTGGGGAAAAAAAAACAAGTAGATATTGGTTAGTTTGGTAATCACTGCCACCACCACGAGCTTGTAGCATTCATTGTTTTGAGCCTTAAGTTACTCTCTGTAATGAAATGCACTGTCTGTTCTTAAAGGTACTTCCAGCATTGTAAGAAAGCTGGTCCTTAGAGTGCAAGAGCGCTCAGACACACGAAGTCACCGCGTGGTGTTCGTCAGAACGGCTCCATTACGAGCAGATCTGCATCAATCCAGACATCAGTGCTTCGCTTTTAATCACAACAGTGAGAACTGTGAGCAAAGGCAGCAGGTGAAGCTCCCTGAGCAGAACTCCGTCCTGCCCCAGGGTGGGGAGGACAACAGGAAGCAGCAGCAGCTGGGGAAGCAGCTCTGCTCTGCAGGGTGCAACTCGCTGCAGGAAAGGCAGGCGTGCGTGAGGAAGAGCTGAGCATTCTGCATGCGGCGTTAAGAAGGTGCAGGAGAGCTGCAGAGGATACTTACATTTGGATCAATATTATTAAAAAGGTCGATTTCGTTTAAATGCTTAAAGTTATCGCTTCCTCCAAGACAACTGGAGAGAGAAGAAAAAAAGCACTCAGCAGGGAACAAACGGCATCGATCCAGGCTGGCAGCAGAACTGGCTGCTTCCAGAGAAGACGTCGCCCAACAGCAGCGGCTGCGCCGAGGCGCCCGGCACCCACCTGAACGTGAGCTTGGACTTTTCAAAGTTTACACTGACATCTTTGCTGTCCTCCACGCAGAACTCCACGAAGACGTAGTCCCTCCGGTCGTACCACTTGGCAGAAGCAGGCTGCCTGCAGACACACATCAAGATGCACAGGTCAGGGCCGCTGCTTGCCTTCAGCTTCCCTCTGTTTCCCCGAGGCACAGAGCAGCCCGAGTCAGAGCGCATCTGAAAACCTCCTGCCTGTTCTCAGCTACGAGCTCACCATTAACCACCTTTAAACCACCACAGCCAGCCCCCCCCCAGCACAACATTCCAGCGCTGAGCACGGGGACACCCAGCAGGAGCTGCTGTTGCTATGGCACGGTGAGCACGGACGCTTTGCTCCCAGGCCGCGTTCCAGAGATGTGAGCAGCACTGGAATTTCAATGTTTTGGGCCCAAAGTTTGCTGTTCTGAACCCAGTGGTCGCTTCCTTTGGTATTTACAGCACAGCTCCAGGCAGTGAAGGCACACCAGGACACACGGAACACGGTGCTGCTCTCTGTAGCATCTTCACACCACGAGGCGCTCAGACTCAGCACTGCACTCTGAAGCATTACGGCACAAGAGCCCAAGCAAAGACGGATTAAGTTTCCAGAACGTTCCATCAGGGTGACCGCTGCTAAGCTTCCGCAGCAGATCTCAGCTCCCAGCCCCTTCAGCTGCCGGCACCGCGCTCACCTGCACTGCGACCCGCAGCCACTGCTGCGAGCCAAGGCAGCCCACAGCCACTGCGAGTTCCCTTCTGACTGCGAAGAGCTGGGACCCAGCTGCTGCGATTCGGCTGCCAAAGGCGAGTGAGCAAAACGAGCACCAGGAAAAGGGCTGCTGGGGAGGAAAGCAGGCGGCCCGCAGCCGTGCGCAGCGAGGCCGAAGCGGATCCACTCCGCAGCCATCCCTGCACTGCCCCAAGGCGCTCCGGGTTCAGTTTCTCTGCCTGCAGCCGCGAGAGCAGCAAACACCGCGGGTACCCACAGCCCTGCAGAGCTGCATGCAGCAGCCACCGCTCCGCTAAGGGACAGAGACCCCGCACCCAGTGCGGCCTGTCACCACAACAGCAGCCTCAGTGTCCCCGCCAAGCACAGCGCCGGGGCTCCTGTGAATAGCGAGGAGCCTCTGCACGTGCTGCCGGCGGAGACGTCCCCGACCTTCCTGCGAGCTGCACGCGTTCCTCAGTCGTGCTGCTCCAGCCCAGCCCTGCTGCTGGGATCTTTATTGAGATGCAGCACAAACTGCACTACGGCTTAGCAGAATGAACTCGTGTTCCTAACGGCAAACTTCTGTTACCTCCCCAGATGCTGAAATACCTCACCGTACCACATCAGAACTGTGACAAAGTCTTACAGGAAGGAACCACTCAGCGATTTTTCCCCCCCTCTCAGAACAGAGGCCTTCCCCGGGCTGCTGGATGCAGCACTTGAGGCAGGACTCAGCATGTGAATAGGGCAGCTATGCAGGAATCCCCACCAGAAGCCACCACCCCATGCTGTGCTGCTGCCCACACCGCGACTGCTGTGCGCAGCCCCTGGACGAGCAGCGCAGGTGATTCCCCCACAGCCTCGCAGACCCAGAACCCATTTCCTCACAGCATGGGAAGGATGTCAGGATCGTTAAGCAAAGCCCTGCGCTTCCTCCTCGCTCAGCTGAGCTCATAGTATGAGAGCAGAATAAATTAATTGAACACTACCTCAGCCTTATGCCAACACTGTCAACTCGAGTGTGTGCTCTGGTGACGGATCATCCTCCTGTCCCGACCACACTCAGCTGCTCCAGAACAGAGCAAATAAACGTTACGTCCCACCCAGCAACAAACTGCCAGGCACAAAGCAGTGCCCACTGCAGCAATGGAACCCTCCCCAAACTCCTGGTGGGCTCTCACCACCACCCACAGATTCTGGGAACCTCCTGAACAAACACCGCCACTCTACACCTCTGTTGAACCCTCCTCTCATCATGGAACCACAGAATGGCCTGGGTTGCAAAGGACCACAACGACCATTGAGTCCCAACTCCCTGCTGTGTGCAGTTGCCAACCAGACCAGGCTGCCCAGGGCCACATCCAGCCTCCAGGATTGGGGCATCCACAGCCTCCTTGGGCAACCTGTTCCAGGGCCTCACCGCCCTCTGGGGAAAAACTTCCTCCTCATATCCAACCTAAACTTCCCCTGGCTCAGTTTAAAACCATTCCCCTTGTCCTATCGCAATCCAACGTGGATGGCATCACTGCAGCACTGCACTGGGTTGAGAAGCCCCCTCACACTTTGGTGGGCGCAGCTGGGGGGGATCCTCACACCCTGTGCCCCCGGGTTGAGCTCAGGTCACACTGGGTGCTGCTTGAGGCTATCCGGGATGTTCCCAAAGCTGCCCACATGCTTTTTCTTACCCATTCTGCACACTACAACTCATTGGGAAGGCACATTCCTGTTCTGCAGAGCACCCTGATGGTTACAGACATCATCTGCCGGACAAAGATTCTCACCCCCAGATAGGATCACAAGAAAACCTCCCAGCTCCACATCCAGCGTTACAAGTTCTGCTCTGCATAACTACTTCGGCTTTCATCTCCCAGCACCACGTGGGCCCTGTGAGCACAACCCCGGGCGCAGTGCAGCAGCGCCGAGGTTTCGGGATGAGGCACTCCTCAAAGGTTACACAGAGCATTGCGATGCTTTTCTCCTTTTCAGTCACATCCAGCAGCGCCGGAGCTCAGAGCGGGGCCACGCAGGTGCTAAGGGGCAAAACCACGCCGCTCCCATCGGACGCATCGCCGAGCAACCGACGTTTATCTGCCCCAAGCGCCGAGTCTGGGACAAATAAAATCCGTCGGAACGGCGCCGCCGTTCGCATCGCCTTCAATCACCGCGCTTCTATCGGAACCGAGCCCCCAACGGCCCAGCCCCGGGGGCTCAGCGCTCAACGCGGCCCGGCGCCCCCCCCCCCCCGCCCACCCCCTCCAGGCCCCACCCCGGGCCGCAGCAGCGGGCGGCCCCGCCCCGGTGCCCATTCATCGCGCGGCGGAGCGGCGCGGCTCGGAGCGGCTCCCGGGGCCTCGCGCGGCGCCGTGCCGGGACAGGCCGCGGATCGGGGCCCGCCGCGCGGCTGAGCGCGGAGCTCCCGGCCCGGCGCGGCGCGGCCCCCGAAGGTCAGCGCCGTTCACGCGAAGGCCCGGCCCGGCCGCGGCGCGCCCCGGAGCGCAGCGACCCCCCGACCCCCCCGGGGCCTCACATGGCGAGAGGCGTCGGCGGCTCCGGCTGGCGCTGCTCGGGGCAGGGGGAGGGGCGGCCCGTCCGGCTCCGGGGCGCTCCGGTCCGGTCTGGCGGTGACGCGGCTCGGTGCGGCCGAGGGCTCCGCGGGCTCCGGGCTCGGCGCGGCCTCGGCTCCCACGATGCTCCGCGCGGCGGCGGCGCCCAGCGTCAGTGACGCAGCAAAATACCGCCGCGCCGATTCGGCCGCCTTCGCTGCGCATGCGCGTGCCCCGCGTGTCGCCTCCCGCGCGCGGGCCACGCCCCCTCCCCGTCCCCCCCCTCGCGCGCGCCCGCTCCCTCCTCCCTTCTAGCAGCTTCTCGGCGCGCATGCGCACTGCGCGCGCCGTCGCGGGGGGCGGAGTCGGCGGTTGCCATGGAGACGGGGGGGCGTCCGAGAGAAGCTGCGCCTTCACTCAGTGCGGCTCTATCAATTAACTTTTATTAACTGATAGAAACAGTACAAATTTTAAATTTAGGTTCCTTTAACTCTTCTCTGAAATACCAAAAAAAAAAAAATAGGCTCCTCCTTCTGGACGGCTACATCGTCAACTCCTGCGGAGAGAAAGAGGTGTCAGCAGCCCCCCAGTGACCCCCAAACAGCACAGGGGGATGGGGGTGCAGCCCCCCCCGGCACTCAGCAGCTCACCATTATAGCGTTTACGATGTCGTTGCTGTTGTTCTTCAGGGCGCGGACTGCCTTTGCTCGGGACACGTTGGCCTGGGACATGACCAGCTCGATGTCTTTCACCTCCACACCGGTTTCGTCAACCTAAGCACACAGAATGCGGGTCTGACTGCAGCCGAGCACCGTTGGCTCTGAGCAGCCCCCGCTGTGCCGCCCTAGAGGCACCCTGCTGCCACTGAGGCAGAGGTGGATGGAGGAGAACTCTGTGCCCGCACACAAATCCTGCTGGCTGCCCATCAGACACAACCACGGGCAGGAGGTGGATGGAGAAGCCCTGCGGGGCCGTCTGGGGAAGGCTCACCTCTTCTTCCTCGCTCTCCTCCTGCACGGTGGGGGTCTGTGTGTTTTCTTGGATGTTTGACACAGCTTCTCCTTGCACTTTGAACTTTTCGGCAGCTGCCAGCTGGGCCTGCTGGGACAAGTCTTCAATCTGGAGGAGGGAAGGAGCAGAAGTGAGGCCAGGTCTGTGCAGTCTGACGGCAGCACACGGGTTCAGGTGGGTGAGGCTGAGCTCAGCAGCGCCCACACGCAGCAGCCCCACAGGGATGCAAGACATTGGTGTGGGTTGTGGGCCTGCCTGCGCCACCCCAGGGCACAAATAGGGGTGCAGGCAGCAAGGACAAACCCCCAGCAGCCCTCACAGCTCTGCAGCCTGCCCTGCTGCTGTGAGCATGGAGGAGCGTGGCTGCCTGGAACAGCAGTGAGCTCACCTTTGCTTCTCCAAAGACTATATAGGTGTCTGATGCTGGGCTCTTGTACACGTCTGGTTTTGTGATGACAAAGAGGATGTTCTTGGATTTGCGGATGGTGACTCTGGTTACTCCTGTGACCTGGCGGAGGCCGAGTTTAGACATTGCCTGAAAAACAAATGAGAAAGAAAAGCGGGGGGATGAAGAGGTGCTGAGACAGCTCAGGCCATGATGAGATGTGTCCCCTCATCAGACATCCCCAGGTTTTCAGATTGACACAGCGCAGAGTCCGGGAGGAAACTCAACCCCCAGGACAGGCAAAGATCCACGCCATGGATCCACACCATGAGCTGGAGCCACTCCAGACACAAGGATTTTGCCTGTGAACACGGACATTCCCTTTCCTAGGGGTTTAATGAAGGCAAAAAGTCATACAAACCTCTTGCAGCTCCCACAGACCCTGCTGCTGCAGTGCTGGGTGGGGAGGTGAGGAGCTGCTGCCCCAAATGGCTTCCCAAAGCAAATGCCAAGCACTTGGGGGGGGGTAATATGCCAGACCCAAAGCCAGAGGTTGTCCACACGCACATCTGCCCATGTGCCATCCCCTTACCTTCCGTGCTTTCTTTTCACTCCGGCTCTGTTTTGCTTTGCTAACAGGTTCTTCATCTATTTCAGCTGCTGCTGCAAGCTGCAAGAAGAGCAAACAGGAGAGCGCTGTGAGAACCAGGCAGAGCTGGCGGGGCACAGGGCTCCTCTGACCCCACAGGCACAGGGGTGGCTCCTTGCACCCCTCCCTACCTGTGCCTGCTGTGTCGTGGCCTGTGTGGAGTCGTGCTCTTCGAGCTCTGGTACAGACTCATCGCTGTCAGACTCTGTTCCGGACCCTGCAGAAACGAACACGTCACAGTTCTCAGCTCGGCACCTTGCCAGAAGCTGCAGGTAGCTTCAAGGGACGCAATCAGATCATGGAACCCTAATGCCTTGGTGTCAACTGTCGCTGGGGATTCCAGGTGCTGACACAGTTAAAAAGCCCCAGTGCATTGCCATTAAATACGCTTGAGCAGCACCTGGTGGGAGGAGCTCTCCTTGCAGCCACGAGCAGGGACAGCGGCGGGCCACTCAGTGCCACCGGCTCAGTGCCTCCCGGCTCTCAGCACGGTGGAAGATGCCCAGGAGCGGCCAGAGAAGCCAAAGCAGGGGGTTGTGACCGGCCAGGCGGTGCCCTGTGGGGCTGCTGGAGCTCTGCGTGGGCCCAAAGGCTCGCTCTAATGCCAAGTCTCCCGACCAAAGCCTTGGCCCAGGTAGGGCAGCACCGCCCAGGGCTGTGAGTCAGCAGCAATGCTCTCAGAGCTCCTCAAACCTGTTCAGCAGCTGGTGCTGCAGGAGCTGAGACACGGCACTGATTCAAGACCCAGTCCACCAGGTCCCTGAGGCTGCTGCACCTCTCTGTGACTGGATGACAGGATGATCCGTACTTAGTTTGAAAGCTCTCATCAAAAAGCACCATTTTGGACACTCAGGTCGGCCTCTCCACCAGCTCTTGCACTGCTGCTGCAGCGCACGGAACCTTCCAGAACACTGCACAGCTTTGCCTGCCGTGCAGGAAGGCACAAAGCAGAGCTGCGTGTCTCCAGCCCGCACAGCAGGCTGCCGGTGCGTGCGGCGCTCTCTCATGCAGCCGTTACCCAACTTCACGCCTGTTTCCTTCTCTGGAACCACGCACACAGGAGCCCGCACAAAGGTCCCTGCAGGTTGCTGGGAGATGCCAACGCCCCAGGATGGAGGTGGCACCAGCACGGCCCCCAGCTCTGCACTTGTGGGGGATGGACAGCGGGAAACACACAGCCAACACCGAGCCCACGCAGCTGGGCACAGCGCGGAGCAGCTCTTCCCGAAGCTCCAGCTCAGGCAGCAGTCCCAGCACGCACACAGCTCACACCACGCTCCGTGCCCGAGGACACTGTTAGTGACAGCAGCCTGCAGGCGCCGTGCCGAGCGCCGCAGAGGTGATGGCACAGCCTCGGCCCCCCACCCCCCTCAGCACGGCACACGGACGCACCGGGCGACACGGGGGGCACTCGGGGCCCGTGGTGGGTTAGTATCTGGTGGGCAGCCAGCGACACTCCATGCACACGGCAAACCGTGCTGACCAGCAGTACCCTTGTCGTTCTTCACCATGGGCTGCTTAGGAGCGGGGGCCTCGGCTGCTCGGGGAGAGAGGTCCACCAGGATGGGCTGCAGCGGCGGCTCGGCAGCGGGCACCTCGGGGGGGGATCAGGGGGGGCAGGTCATCATCGTCATCAACTGCAGCACTGGCGGGAATGGGGGCCTTCACGGGAGGCTTGCTTGGGGATGGACGTGGGGCCTGCTTGCTGCCTTTATTGGTGGGGGGCTGCTTCTTGGCAGGGGCAGCGTTCGGCACAGAAGAGGCAGGAGGGGTGGCCTCTGTTTTCTGGGGTGCGGGGGCAGCACAATCGGCTGCTGGCTTTGGGAGGGCACCAGGAGCCCCCGGGGCTGAGGCAGCAGCACCTGGAGCCGGAGGCAGCGTGCCAGGGGCTGCCGGGCTGGCAGGAGCTGCCTTAGCTGCAGGGTGGGCAGAGGGAGCAGCAGGGGCTGCCGTGGCAGCAGTGGGGTTCTTGGGAGGTGCTTTGGCTGCAGCAGGGGCAGAGGAATTAGACTGGGTGGCAGTGGGGCTCTTGGGAGGTGCTTTGGCTGCAGCTGAAGATGCTGGAGCTGCAGGGGCAGGGGGAGCAGATGGGGCAGCAGTGGGGCTCTTTGGGGGCTTTTTGGCCACAGGGGGGGCCGCTGGAGCTGGTGGAGCTGTGGCAGGAGCAGAGGGAGCAGCCTGGGCAGCAGCAGGGCTCTTGGGGGGCTTTTTGGCTGCAGCTTGGGCTGGTGCAGCAGAGGCAGAGGGGGCAGCAGCAGAGCTCTTTGGGGGCTTTTTGGCTGCAGTGGGGGCAGCTGGAGCTGCAGGACTTGGTGGAGCTGCTGCAGCAGAGGGAGACGATGTGGCAGCAGCGGAGCTCTTTGGGGACTTCTTGCCTGCAGGGGGTGCAGCTGGAGCGGCCAGCACAGGTGTGACAGGTGGGGAGCTGGCAGGGACAGAGGGGGCAGCAGCTGGGCTCCCAGGAGCTGCTTTGGCTGCAGAGGGGGCAGCTGGAGGAACTGCAGGAGCTGGTGCAGCAGTAACAGGGCTCTGGGAAGCCACTTTGTTGGCAGCAGGGGCAGCTGCAGCTTGGGGAGCTGCAGGAACTGCAGCAGCAGAGACAGAGGGCGTAGTGACTGGGCTCTGGGGAGCTGCTTTGGTGGCAGCAGGGGCAGCTGCAGGAGCTGGAGTGGCAGCAGAAGGACTCTGGGGAGCTGCTTTGGTGG